TCATAGAACGGAAACGATATTTGTTTACAAAAGCTGTGAAACAAATTGATTGTTCTGTGAAGTCAAAACAAACAATGATGTCTTGGAAAAAATATTCATATAACCGGCAACTAAAACATGACACACTAACAACTGAACTGAGCTATGTTAGTAGGTATAGACTACCAGATTAGGATCCGTAAGACAATCGCAATCAGTGGTTAGAGACTTGACTCAAAATCGTTTGTAATGCCTGTCCTACAGAGGAGATTAGTTTCCGCTTGAATAGTAGTTTAGTGCTGACATCTCAGAATTAGAAACCTGGTGGCTCAAATTTGAGTACGTTTGGAAGAATTGGTTCTCGGAAAATTACTGATAAGTTTTGATGTTTAGTATCAAATAATCTGAAAACAAAGTCTAGGATTTCATCTCGATGATCTCTGACCATTCTCCATATTCTAAAAACATTTAAGTTTCATTAGAAGATGAAACCAGAACTAAAAACTTACTTACTTACATTTTAGATAATAAATACCAATTTTTCAAATTGAAAAGTGACAAAATACAACATGCATTAGTTGACTGGTTTACGCAAAATCTAGACTGACAAATGTTGATAAGTGCAATCAAAATTGATTATTGGGTTCGCAAACACCAAGTCTTATAAACAGTGATTAATCAACAAATTGTATTAGTATCAGACAAGCCACAGTATAATTTACGCAAATTGTTCAGCAGTCAGTATAAAGAGAAATACAAATACTATGAATTTACAGAAGTTTTTACTCAGTAATTTTTTCTCAATTATCTTTACTGAAAGTTTTACGTGAGAAGACTGCGGCAGGCGCGGAAGACTGTTTAATGCAAATTTACGCTCTGAGTCAATTAAAAACGAAAACATTACATTGAAAACTCTATTTGCACACCATCTTTGAGCCGTGACTTCCAACACTCCATCCTTCTTCCATTCCTGCTTTTGCTTCCTTTCCTTCATGTTGCTACTCCATTTACTTCTTGCTTTTGCTCCATTTGCTTTCCGTTTTCCTCTTCTGACTGTGAGACTTCTTCTTTCACGTCCCTTCTTATACTACTTATATCGTTCGTATAAGTAGCACACACCACATACGAAACCATTTATGGATAAATACTTCGTTAAGATATTCTGGTTGTACTGTTACCAAACTCAAACAATAGACGTTGGCGTTTTGTTATACCATTCTAAATAAATTAACTAATCAAGAAAAACTGCATTCATGAAAAAAACACGTTGGTAAGTGTTTACTGGCCAAATATTGATAAATCGCAAACTATCTTAAGGTGTTAGAATCTGGTTTAATTACAAACGAAATAACTGACTGATAAGAGAATTCTTATTCTTAGTTGATCTGAATCAAATGCCTTATTATTCTGATAGGCTTTAGAAGTTCTAATGAACTCAAAATCTTTTGTCGGAGAGTTTAACACCGATAATCAGCAATTTTATGTACGGCATAGTGAATAAGTGTTGATATATAATTTAAAGTTTAAACAAATTCAATTAATTAGTAACTTTCGAGTAAACAAATGAACTTGATTTTCTATATTTAATGTTAAAACTTAAAAATTCATAAAATGCAATATTTATAAACTACATAAATGAATAGTTGTTTAGAAATGTGTAGTGCGCGAGTCAAGATACCAGATTGACTATGCTCACCACTAAATGTTCCATACGGTGCCGTCATTCATAGCAGAACAAAATAAATCCGTGATCCAAGGTTTTATTGAAGGAAACAGTAGGCATTACATGGGGAAAAATGGCAGCAACGCGAAGAGAACGTTGCGCCTAAGAAGTCGTGGCAGTGTTTTTGGTACAGTTAAACAAAATGAGTACAATAATGTTTGTTTTTCACAAATCGAATTTTCTTCGTAGAAGCGTTCCACTACAAATGAAAGCAAAATTAAGAGTTCCTTTCATTATATTACATTTTTATTGGCCAACAGCTGTATTTATGTCCATCAATAACATCGGTGGTGGACCAAAATCATTGAGCACATCACAGTAAGTTAATTCACTAATTTTGAAATGAAATTGGCAGATGCACGATATAAGTTTTAACAGAGAATTGACCAATTGAAATGCAAGCAACAAGCATGTAAAAATAAACTGGTTACGTAACAAAGGCTAGAGAAAAATGACGAAACTATGTAAGAATATGTATTCAATGAGCAGTAATCAGTTTATCAACCAAAGTATATATTGAAGTTCTCTATGATGACTTAAACAATGCTTTATACTTAATGATAACATCATTCGTAAGATTAAAATGAAATAGCGAAAGATATAAAATAACTGGAAAAGAAATTTACTTACAAACTAGTTCTAAATTAACCATCTCTATTGCTGAAATTCATTTAAAAATACTGTTATTAAAACAAATGAAATTTACATACAAGTAAGTAGATCTAAATAAATGAATATTTGAAAGTTAAAACAAGAAGAATCATATCAATGCATTTACGGTAGATATCAAATTAATAAACTGTTATACCACAGCGAATTCTGAGGTATTACACGCGTTAGTTTCGATGTTTGAAACGTATAAACTTGGTTTATGACAACTAGAGCTTAAGATTTTAAATGACTGCTACGTTCAACTTACCCTAAACAACCTGACGACACATTTTTGGTTTGTTCTGTTATCAAGACAAAAGTATTTACGAATTAAATAAGGTTGTACAGTAAATAGAATAGAGAAATTCCAAAAACAGTGTGTCAATGAAATAATCACAATAATCGTAATGCTTGTTTGAAATGCGTGTTTAAATAAATGGGATACAAGTTAAAATTGTACAACTTCAAATGTAGCCAACCAACTATTTGCTTGTGTATATACATGTCAAATAAATGAGAGACCAGCTTAGTGTGAGTAAGCATTTAATTTCCAATCAACACAATCATCAGACTATGGTTAATTGTCTGTCGTAAGAGCGGCATGATGTAAATGAATGTATTCGATCTATTTCAATAAATGTGAATACTACTCATAATATCAGAATAATGTATACAGACTTACTTAACGTAATCACATATATCTTCTAAGTCATAAGTAAATACTATATTCAAGTAGATTTCATACAGCTATCCGTTCTTTCTAATGACCTCAAATTTTCTTGATTCAATTGGTAAAACGATGAATATATGAACATTTTCATGAGTTATACACTCATAACGAATTAATTAAAACTGAAAAAAAGTAAGTTATTTATAACATTTGTGTGTCAAACGAACAAAACTTTTAAACTAAGAGTTATTTTTTCAATAGCTTTCTCTTTAGGTTCTACAATTATTGGTCTGTAAATAATATATTATATTGGATTATTCATTAAACTTTAAATATAAGAATGATAATCGTGTTATATGAACTATCTATGATGGATTATCTATTTTCTTATCATCGGTTAATGTAAATTTGATCACTATTGGAAAACAGGTAACTCTAGATAGCCCTTTTAATACAGTTTGAAGTTGTGACAGTTTTTGAACTAGTCAATAATAAGTCTTAGATTCTAAATTTTTTAGTGTTAAGTAAATAGTTTTCAATAATGTAAATATTATTTCGTTGATTTTACTATTTATAGTTCAATTTCTCATTTTTATACAAGCTTGAGAAATTTTCTAGAGTTCAATGTACAACTTATAGTGCATGAATTGTTGCTTAAAAATCGGTTTCTTCGATCTAGGTGTATTACAGTATTCTGTCTGTATACATTATCCGTTGTGTATATATAACTCCATTAGATTTTAAGACTGAGCACTAGGTAGGCGTATGTAGAGATTTTTTTTGCTTATTACCAGCATTTATCATATAGTTAAAGGTTTGAAAAGATGATATACGTTGCATCGATATCATTTCAGAAGTTTATTTATTGAATGTGAATTGACCAGACAAAACTGACTAAATAAATCTTAATGTCGATTTATGAAGTTAAAGGAGATGAGGTAATTTTTGTGATGTTGTCTTGTCTGAGCTATAACTTCAAGTCTTTGAATCACAACCTCCAAAATTAGTCTTCATGGAGGATATCACATTATTATTCCTTAGATCAACAACAACGAACAACCCACAGAACACAAATAAGATATCCGACTACAAGAGAACTGACAGATCTGTTTGAAGATAATACTTATTTAAAAGTCAGATTTACAGATAGATCAAAGAGAAGTCAATAAAACCTATGAAGACGTTGAGTCAAAAACGGTCATTGGAACGCACTAATATAACAAATGTGGAATAAGTGGAAAGCTCATTTCTTCATGAAGTAGTTACTGAAAATATTGTTCATACTGACAATAAAAGTTCTGTCATTAAATCGTCTGACTAAGAGGACATAACATTTCCTGATGTGTAATTCTCTGCCATTTGAATAGCCGGATGGGTATTAATTTATCATCTGTAACTCTTAAATACGTTAATGGATATCGCATAATAAAGTAACCCGAAGTATAATACAAATATGAAAATTTATTTTGGCTTTAATAATCAAGAACTTTGTCTTAGTTTTTTGGAATGCATCAAGCCAAATGAATTCAAAGCAATATAGAATCTATTTTAGAGTGAACCATGTTTTTTTACAATAGATATTAATCATGGTTGATTCCTATATGCAGTAGTATGTTTATGTGTATATATGAAAATCTTAAAACTCTTAAGACAAACTGTAAGTCGGCATGTTTTGAATAATAAAGTAGAAGCTTTTAGTATTTGAAACTGTTATAATACCACAAACTTTATTCGACTATTCGTCCATTATTAAGATAAGATAAGAGTCTATGAAATAAAAATTCACTTTATATATGTTTGGTGAAGTGAATGAGAAGAACAGCCCTCTCTATTTACGGCTTCTGTTCTTATATAAATCACATATAATGACAATTTAAAAAATATCGTTCAAATTTATATTTACTTATGACTTTCCATGCAGAAAAATAGCACTCATACAATTTCATCAAATTATGATCTCTCTATTTTAAACAGGTAATGAATAAAAAGTCATCAAATCAAACAAAAAGTATCTACGATCAAAAAACACCTAAAATCGAAAATCCGAAAAACAATTCGCTTATGTATTCAACTTCGCTTCATTCTTCGAATTCAGGCAAATGCAATGAACTCCATCGGTACAGAACACCAAATATATCATTTAATTTGGCTAATTTATCACTAGAAGATCATGACAAAACTTTAACTATTGATACGTCGACAAGGAAAAGTCGATATTTTTGGAAACATTTCCCCTGCGCATCACCCATCTCCGATTGTACACAAAGGAGAGATTCACAAATGGAATGGCATGATCATGATGATGATCATTGGCGAATGGTTCGATATCATTTTATTGAATCCAAACATTTACAATTGAGTAGAAAAGCTTGTCTAGGTAAAGGAGAGCATCACTTCACCAGTTTATACCGTATTTATATTGATGAAAATGGTAATAAATATTCATTTTTTTGATTAATTGCGTCATTTTGGAACAATTTATGTGTATTGGGTTTGATATTAGTCTCATTTCAAACATTTTTAATCATATATCTGGTGCTTTTGTTGATATTTCTTTTATGAAATAAACCCTCTTAATACTCTTAGTCTTTTTGAAAGTTGCCGTATTTTAACTTGGCATTTATAAAGATCACAATATAGGGCCATTCAGTACTTCATGTGGAATGAGGTCGCAAATGTTCCATATTATATGAAACCCCTCATATTTCAAGCCAGACAGTCAATTCACCATAATATTGAACTGTGATTATGCTGGGTGGGACTGACATCACTGAAAAAATCTGTATCATGAGTGGCATCAATTATCGCCTCAGCTTACTCATGGATAGTCGTTGGCGAAGGCGTATGCTTATATTTTTTTAGGGGGTTCGTGAGTAACTCGAATAGTCTTCATTCAACTCATTATTTTTATTCTTTCATTTTTTTACTACTGTTCATTAATAAGTAGTCAAATAAATGTGAATGATCTCTGAACAATTCCCATCATATTAAAACCAATTTCTGTGCTTTAAAATGTGTATAACCTAACCAAACTGTTATATTTCGGTACACTGATTCTACTTTGTAAATGATCTCTTAGACTCATTTACCAGCTGTTTGTTTTAGTCTAGTTCAGAAAGTAAAAGAATCCCATTCTATGGTAGAAATGAACTGTTTTCTTCTTAAAATCTTGATAACCTATAGAATTAGAAAAAAATTTATAAACTAAGTAAAGAGTCTACTTCAAATTCAAGTCTATTTAAAAACTTTCTATTTACAATAAGTAGAACAAATTCTCTGGATAAAACAAAAGCAAGATAACACATTATCTTGACTTTAATCATTTTTAAACATCAGTTATAACTTTATTCATACAGCATTGAAGGAGTTGATAAGTAATTTTATCGGTTTCGATTATGTTTCATCGTATTCTGACCGTTTCATAATTCTCGAAAACTTTTGTATCCATAATGTGGTCATTTACAGACTTCATTCATCATTACTAACTATTTTTGAAATGATAATTATTTTCTATAAACTTTTCTGTTCAAAGATTTTACCTGATACTGTTAATTTTCTTATAGTTTACATGTTTATTACACTGAAAAATAATCAAATGTGAGAGTCAAATCAAGAAATGTAAAGTTTAACGAGAACAGAAGAGTTACAGACAGGAAATATTCATTAACCATGCATTCGGATGAGACTAGATCCCTAAATAATTTCTTAATAAATTAAGAAAATGTAAGCCCGTAATTGTCCAGTAACAATAAGTAATGTTGTGATAGAGTTTCTTTCTCTGAGCTGGATGTTTTGGTTGCGGAGCTTTCATCGTTCTTCTGAACAACATCATCAGCACAAAATTCAAAAGTGAAGTATTCAAAGTTCTCCACGTATGTCTTGTAGCTTTGTTTAAGAGAGTGAAAATGTAATGCAATACACATGAAGCACATAAAGTGAAGAAAAACATCTGATGACTATCTTCACAAAGAACGGATATCAACTCAACTTTAGCGAAAAATATTAACCGAAACAATCAACAGAAGCGAAATCAAGAACAGGAACCAACAAACGGATTATTTTACCATGTACATAAAAGACATATCTGAAATGACAGCACGACTACCGAAAACATTTAGAATAGGTGTAGCACGCAAACCAACCGAATTAGATCAATAAACCCTATGTAAACCAATGGACGAAATGATGAAAGAAGAAAAACCAAATATCATCCACAAAATAAACTGGCTTAGACTGAAAATTTAATCAACATCAAATTAAAAAAGTTGAGAATAGATAGGTAGATTAACATTCTGCACTTCATTGCTTCAGCCAGCATACTTTATGGTCCTGATGCATTACCAACATTGATCGGTCCGATGAGCATGCTCAATTCTTTGGTTTTCAGTCGGGTAACACCCATAGGAAGACCTGTATGTGATGCTTCGATGTCCGTTCAGATGGTCTATCCAACAGCTCTTCTAAGTTCTCCACTCACCGATCTCGCTTCTCTTAGATCCTAGTAATCGATTTGCCTTCCTTGTTCTTCACTGGTCACTCTGGTACACTGTGATTTCGAAACAGCTTCTTCGCTGTAGCGTATAGTCATCACATATATCCTTCTCTTGCAGATTTGCCACTGTGATCGCTAGGTCTTTCACATACATCCGCTTGCCAACCCCAATGTTCCTTTTCATTCTCTCATTCGCTTCTGTGTATTCGGCATGTGTCTCGAATTCCTCTTGTTCGGTTGTTATTAGTTTCCGTCCTCCTGTTCTTCCTTTCTTGAATATTATCCGGAGTGTCAAAAGAGATCCTTTCCTAATGATGATGGTTCTTGTGGTCTAAAACCTCATGATGTTCTGAAGTTATTGCTTCTTTGATCCCTATACAATCCTTCCTCATTGTAGCTTCCTCTTCATTAAGTACATCAAGCAAAGCTCGAAACTTACTGCAGAGAGCTATTTTGCATTTGTCGAGTCTCCCAGTGTCTTGAAGGATAGTTGTACTAACCTTCTGTAGTGCTGTATGTCCACTTGTCCAGTACTTCTGTGCAAACCTCCCACTACTTTGTTTCTTTCCGCCCAATTCATGTTGTTCCATAATAGCTTGATGTGCGATGTTGTGCATTCCAACTATGGTGTTTAGGTCTCGCATCAAAATGATCAAATACTTTGCCGAGAATTCTCTTCGACTGGCTGTAACCTATCATAACGTTGATCTTTATTGCCTTCAATTTTACGATTGATGGGCTTGTTGCACTGGATGATATACATTATAATACACTCCATATTCGTCTCGAATGATCCTTTGATAATCCTGGGTCTATTAGACCCTCATCCTTCAAGCACTTTCTCTGCTTCTTTGGATAACATCAGTGCAACTCCTTGTGTGTGAGGCATCTTCTTCTTCTTCCTCTTCATGACCAGAGTACAACAGCATCTCTACAGAAGCTAATATTTTTTGTTCAAAGAGTGTCCGACGAATTCCACTTATTCCAAGCACCTCTGCATTGTATCTTTTGTTCTCCTCATTATCTAGAATGATACTTCTGGTCTCCCACATCGTGCAAACATTCCATGTGTGTGTACTAATGGTTACTCTGGTTGTCAGAAGTGGAAATCCATCTCGTAACTTCCTAAGAAACTCGGCTTCCACCATGAGGCGTGATAACTCTTCAAAATGAAGGACTTTTAACTCATGGGGCAGAGTTTAAATGGTTTCAATGAACTTTTCTTGTTTTTGTTTTTCTAGGGAGTTTGTTTTCTTTGGGATAGGTCGCTGACTCCATGCTCAACCTTTACCTTTCATTAAAGCTTAAGACTAGCAATAACCGTAAATGAGTTATCGACCGAATTAGTGATAAATAAAACCCTGGCTGAGTTATCTAACTTTCTGGTCTTTAAGGGTTAAGTTACAATGTAAATTTTTATGTATATGTGTGTGCTTACGACCATACTTGGTTTGCTACATACAATCCTTTTGCTGGCTGAGTAAATGTTACGCTCGTCACTAAGTATGCTTGAGGCTATTACGAGTTTACCTTAGTTGATAAACGCGAACGAGACTTTTACCAGCGTCCAGGTAGGCTATTTGAATCCCCAAATAGAGTAAAAAGGCTTTGTAAGCGTAGAAAATATATTCTACAAACACCCACCAATCAAAGTACAATCAAGCATACAACTCTCGTTTATTTATACATCATAGAAACGTCCTTGAGACAGTTAAGAAAGTAGTGCACTAAAATACACAGCAGCCAATCACAGCCATGGATTTTCCTGGTGGGAATTGAAATCTCAAGGACAACTGATCTGCCCATGCTGGCATAAGTGAAAACCAAAACAAGGCATTTATCAAGCGAATTTCGGGGATCTAACATCCCCAACAGTAAAGCTTTTTTCTTCATTTTATTTTGAGTACTATTTTTCTGTAAATACAAATCAAAAAATAAATCGTGTTACATTCCCTTTTATCCTAAAGTGATTATGTTAGATGTTGTAATTGGAAGTGAATAATGATTTGAATTAAAATATTATTTGTACAGATAAACTCTTTAGAATAGCTCGGTTCCCTAATCCATGTTAGTTACTTTCACGTTGGATATTTTCTTTTTTAAAGCATGTTTCATAACATGTTTGTTGTGAACGAGGCTCTGTATTGTTGAATTTATCTACTTCGTAAAGTATATTTACCAAATAATCAGTTTACTTCAAATAGATTTATATTATTTACATTTAAGTAGAGTACATTGCAAAGCTTTCATAAATTCCATAACAAATTGATACCTAGTGGTGAATCATTATAATTTGTTGGAATCGATTCTGGTTTGGTGTTCAGTTCAGTTATTTGCTCATCCTACTAGCCATTCGAATACTCGGTTATGGATATGGAGAAAACAACACTTTTGTGGGAAGATTTGTTGTTTAACAGTAGGATAAGCAAGCCTACAGCTTATTGATCTGTATAGTTAGGTAGAGTCACCTTTATATTAGCACAAAGGTGATGACTTAAGCTAGATGAATAATCCACTTACTTGTTACAGCCTACAGATACTGTTATTTGACTTTCCATTGAGGACTGCCAGGCGTTGTAAACTAAGAGTGATCATCCATTCTGTCATCTGTGATTTTCATTAGTTATACAATTAATGGCAGTTTATGACGAAGAATATCTTAAACATATGTGTGAATAACTTTAATGAACTATAACTATTCAACAACCATATTCATACATATTTCATAATCAAACGTTTTACTGGGCAAGGATAGAATGGTTATAAAAAAGTAATTCAGTTTTTAGTGCAATTACTAACAGTTCTGGCTTAGTTATCATTTGACAGATTTTATACATTTTTACCAATGAAATTATATAAAATAATAAAAGCTTCATATCTTTGATAAAGTGAACTAATCAAATTTTTGTAAATGTATTTTTTCCATTCTAATCTAAAATAATTATTTCGGTCACTGATAAATTAGAACTTATTAGACTATTATTATTGTATAATTCGGGA